AGAGAGTGCATCCTCGTCCTGGGGCTGCCGCTGTCACCCCAAATACCCCACACCCAAGGGGGTGACCCTCCCCTGAAACCTTGACTCTGCCCCCCCCCCACACCAACAGGTGTCCTGCCTCTGCGGTGCACGCCCCGGGGTGTCCCTCTTCCCCCCCCCCAGTACCCCCGGGGGTACCGCTCCCCACAATCCCCGCTCCCAGAGACCCTGGGTCCTTTGCATTCCCCCCCTCCCCTTTAAGGACTAGCCCGGACCTGGCAGAGGTGATGGCCCCTGGCCCCCCGCCCTGGGCCCAAGCCAGGGGATGCTCTCCCGCCGGGGCTCGGCCAGGCCACCCAAGCGAACGGCAGAGGCGCAGCCGGCCCTGCACAGCCGGCCTTCAAAACCAACCTCGCCAGAAGAGGGGCTGCGAGAAAGGCTGCGTTTCCTGCTCCTTCCCATAGCACCGATGAGGCCATTATTATTGGGACTGGGCCCCGCTGGCTTGCTTAGGGGAGGGGGGGGGCAGCCGTGCATTTCACCGGCCCGCGACTGGGGTGCGGGCACCTGCTGGACTCAACCTTCAGCATCCTACAAGCTGGAGTCCAGAGGCCGCTCCGGGGAGACGTGGCCACACATTCCCCGTAGACCCCAGAAAGAAATCCGACAGGATTCCCGGCCGGCCCCCAGCCACGCTCCTAGCGCTACCGCCGGTTGATGCCCGGCTGGGACCCGTCTGCGCTGTACCATGCGATGTGATTTCAGCACCATGCACCCCCGCCCCGCCGAGCAAAGGCGCCCGCTGCAGAGAAAGCGGGGAAAGAAGTTGGGGCCGAGGAGTTACTGCGTTCAGGGGGGGCTGTGGCTTGGGGGGGGGGAGGGGGGCTGTAACTGGGACAAAACAAAGTGCCGCAGCCCCCAGCGGTTTATTTCACGCTTGCAAAGGGCAAGGGGAGGGGGGGTGTCTCTGTTGCAAAGGGGTCGCGGCAGGGGAGGAGGGGGCTGCTCGCGCCACCCGTGCTAGGTGTCTCCTCCCGGCAGCGCGGCGGCCCCGCGCTCCCCGGGGAGAGGAAACCCTGGAAGCGCCTCCTCGCGCTCGGGTCCCCGGCGGGCGCGAGCCCGACCGCAGCAGCAGCAGCAGCATCCTCCGGCTCGGTGGCGCGAGCGCGTCCCAGGTTCAAGCTCGTGCAGCTGCCACTGACTGGAGCTGGTCCGGGCAGAACAGGTTTCTGCCAGTTTGGGTGTGTGCGTGTGTGTGTGTGTGTGTGGCGGCGGCTGGGTGTGAGACTGACTCCCCGCCGGAAGCGGAGCGCTGCCTGCTGCAATGGGCCATGACGATGGCTGCAGGCGCCGGCGTTGCCGGGCAGAAGCATCCCCCCGAGGGAAGAGCCAAGCGCCTGGGGCGCCCCCGGAGTCAGCAGTGTGCAAGCGGCACCCCTGAACCTGCCGGAGCCGGCTCCGTTGGAGTTGGGTGGTGTTTTTCTGAATTGTGTGGGCAGGAAGGCTGGGGATGAACCACGCTCCTGCTGCTTCTCATTGTTCGGCAACAAACCCGGCCGTGCCCGATTGTTATGCAAATTTCCCCGCTTTGCTCCCTGACTCCCAATTCCGGGCTGGAAAAAAAAAAGATATTTTATTCGCCTGCCCGGGCCGAAACTACAATCATTCGCCTTCTGCGGCGGGTGTGTGTGTGGTGGGGGTGTAAATCTTACTGCGTGGACGTGGAGAGTGGGTGATTTTGCTAATGCTGACGCGCTTTTAAGTGTGGAGGAACCGGAAGAGAAAGGGTTAACTTGTCACCCGTGCTGCGCTTAAGGGACTCGGTCTGTAGGCAGAGTCGCGTTTTATTTAGCGTGTAGCCAAAACGGATTGACGAATGGGAGCGATTCTTGGCTTTGTGGGGCGCTCAGTTCATCCTGCAGCCTCCCATTCAGCCGCTCAAGTCCTGCACCGTTTTGGAGGGTCAGTGTTGCATCCTGTTTGTTTAGAGAAGGGCCCTTCCTCTCTGTGTGGAAAGGAGACAGAAGGGATAAGTGTGTAAAGCAAAGGAAGCAATGGGTCCCCCCCTCCACACACACACACACACACTGTTTGCAGCCTTAGGTACTGCTGGCATCCCACTAAAGCACTGCTTGCTTTGAGACAGCTGCAGCCAACATTTTCTTTAATTCCCAAATACACTTGGCATGTGCAGTTTAGAAAGACATGCACGACGGGACCCTATGGATCGTGCGTGTGACAGTGCAAAACAGCAGCCCCGGCCTGCCATAAGGCAGCAGAACTGGAGGAGGGAATGTGGTAAGCTGCTCTTTTAATAATAACGCTTAGCACCTGCAAGTGCTGCATCTTCCCAGGACTATACAGTCACTCATTAATTATTTTTAACCACTATTTTGGGTGGCCAACCGGAGCCTGAGAAGGAGCCAGAATTTACCAATGTACATTGCCAAAGAGCCACAGTAATGCGTCAGCAGCCCCCCAGCAGCTCCCCCCATTCCAACCTGCAGCGCCTCCTGCCCGCCAGCAGCCCCACCAATCAGTGCCTCCTGCTCCCTCCCCATGCCTCTCGCCCGCCTTGATCAGCTGTTCCGTGGTACTCAGGAGGCTCTGGTGGGGAGGGGGGAAGAGCGAGGGCATGGCAGGCTCAGGAGAAGGGGTGGAGTGGGGGCAGGGTCTGGGGCAGAGCAGGAGGTTGAGCACTGAGCACTCACCTTCACATTGGAAAGTTAGCATCTATCGCTCCAGCCCTGGAGTCAGTGCCTATGCAAGGAGCTGCATATTAACCTATGAAGAGCCGCGTGCGGTTCCGGAGCTACAGGTTGGCCATCCCTGGACTATTTCCTTTCCTTTTTAGTGCCACAATAATGGTAGGTCTCTTTTTGCAGCCTTAACAAACAAACTAAAAGCCTGAGTGCGGATTTCGCTTTTAATCACTAGAAAAAATAGTTAATTGTTAATTGTTTTAAAGCTTTCCCTTGGTTTTCATGTAAAAAAAAAGTGATCTGGTCATAAAATAGGTAGGACAGCCCATCTTACAGATAGTATTGTTTGTTTGTTTGTTTGTTTGTGTTATTGTAGCTCTTTGGAGCCCTAGTCATGGAGCAAGACCCTGTTGTGCGAGGTGCTGTACAAACACAGAACAAACTGTCCCAAAGAGCTTAGCTGCTTTGAACTTTAAACAGGATGTGGACACAACGGAAACATGTTTGTTGGTCTCAGTCCAGTTGCCCAAAGAACCATCTGACACATGCACTGGTCATGAACTTAGATGATACCCTCAAAGCAGAGTCAAAAGGTTGAATGGACCATTGAGACTGAGACACATTGCTGGATATAACCCTCACCCTGCTACGGCCCAAACGTGGATACAGCGTGTGACAAAGACCCAAATGAAGAATGCAACAAAATTATCCATGTAAGAAACATAAAACGCCTCATGGTTCCTTCTGTGGAGCTGTAGCTCCCAAACTTTTTCATGCTGTGACCTCCTTTGGGCTCACATCAGATAACGTGACCTCGAGGGGTCTGAGAGGTGATGGTGGGGTTTGAGAATTAAAGGCTTGAAAAACAGGTTCTGCCCCTGGCGGAGCGGGGGGTTTGCAGAGCGAGCCCACCTTGTGCTCACCTGGGAATGGTAGCTCCTGTCCCGCAGGGGCTGGCTGTGCGTGGGTCCCCATTCTGGGCATTGCAACCTGGTCCCTGCTGTGTGGGTTTGTGTCACAGCACCATGCAGCTTTGGCTTGGCCCCTCTAATTTGAGTGAGTGGCGTTGTGAGTCCGTGCACCATGAGCAAGGCCGTAACACCTGGAACAGGGAGTTGAGCCCAGCCAGCCCTGCAAGACAGGAGCCTCTTCAATGGGGACATATTCTGGCTTTCTTACATTTTCTTTTTTTCCTCTTTTTTTAACATCTCGCCACCCCCTGGCACCCTTTTGCAACCCTTTCTAGGAGTCGCAACACACAGGTTGGGAAATGCTGCTGTAGAGTTATTACAAATAACTCTGTAACCTCAGCTCCACGGTTCTTTATTCCATAATTTTCAGAATGAAGTGAGGGGAAACCACATTTTTGTGGAATGAGGGTAACCTTGGGACTAAAATGTGAGACTTTCCTCCAAACCAGGATCATTGGCAGGTATGTTGCTAAGCCATAGGAGGAGACATGCACTGATTCTACTTATGTTGGTTTTACTTGTTCGGTGGCTAAACAGAATGCTTGAATCCTAGCAGCTGCCCGGTCTGGCATCTTGTGCCAGCATTCAGATTTTGCGTTCTAAGTTAACTTGGATGATGATGTGATGAGCTTTCCTGACTCAAAAAGGTCCATTCTTTGGAGTCTGTCTCCAAAGAAGTTTGTGTTTCAGGCTGTTATTTAGCTTCTGGAAAAAGAACCTTTGGGGCTTGAAAAATTATTGGTAGCCCCAATTAAAAGAGTCACATTATGTACCTTTGTGAACCCATGGAGGTATTCGGTGCTTTGTTCTCTAAGTGCACCTACTGTGTACTTGATAAAATCAGATTCTGGTTCTTCTCTTTTTTTTAATTTCAACATCCCTCTACACACATGCATTGTTTGTGAACTTAAAGCAGGGCCCTTGTTCTGGATTCTTGAGCCTTGCACCATTAATCCTTGCGGTTTGTGTTTAAATTCACTGACTTTTGCCCACTTGTAACAGATTTAATTTTTTTATTAAAGCTAATGTTAAAAAAATCATATAATACATAGGTTGTCTGTACATCTGCGTCTAGTGCTTAGATTATCCACAAATACAAAGTTTGTTTTTAAAAGTCATATGATACATAGAGTACATAATCAGCAATAACCCAAATTTAGGTGAATAGATTTAACAGTACAGTTTAGGTATTAGAATCTGAATACTCGGGTATCATTCTGAAAAGTGCACAGAGATTTGGTTGTGGAAAGCAAAATATATCTATGAGTGGAGATTGTCCCTCAGTAAATGAGAATTAGGTAGGTTGTCCCTTTAGAAAATACAATCCATGAGGAAAGTATTTCAGTGACTTTCCTGATCGCGCTTCTCATCAGCACGCCAGCTCATCCCTCCTGGTATTGCCGATGTCCGGTGATGTGTTCTGTGTAGATGTCCCTCGACCACCTGATGACGTCCGACACCATGAGTTGCCGCATCAGCTGAGCGTAGCGTTGACCGATTCTGCATTCTCTCAGCTCTCGCTCCTTACTGGGGTCCCATGCGCCCAAGGCTCCGACAGTCAGTCCGTGTGTCTGAACCTGGTAACTCTTAGCTCTCAAGGTTTCGGCCAAAGGGGCGTATTTCTCCATCTTTCGAGTTTGGGCATCGTGGAAGGCCGGGGTCCTGTTCTTGAAGGGCACTGTGACATCTACCATGATGATCTTCTTCCAGTCCTCATTGGTGATGACGATGACCGGTTGCAATTGGCTGTCGGTTCTGGGGATGGTGGAGTTTATGGCAACCTTCCCCAGGGGTGGCGGGATGGGTCTGGCCAGGCGATCTTGAATGGCGTTGGGTCGCAGCTGCCAGGCTCTGAAATGGGGCTTGCAGCTACACAGGACGTGGGGTAGGAATACTTCATTCAGACCACAATGGGGTATAAAACCATATCTTGTTTGCTCTGCTGTACTTATGGACTGTGGAAACTTGCCACATTGCCATGGTAATATAAAACTATAACACACAAATAACTCTGCCTAGTTCAAATGGGACTCAGAAGAACTTTAAGGAATCTGGTTTATAAACTTTCAAAAATTAGGAAATAAATCAAGATCTTTGTTCAGTTCTTAAGTCATTTTGCTCATTTCATCTCATATGGCATGTATAATTTCTCAGTGGGTAAAGCCCTCCGGAGTCCCTGTCACCCAGATCGGGGGTAGTAAATGATCTCTCTCACGCACACACACACACACACACATACACACACACACACACACACACACACACACTCACAGAGGTGTATGTTATTGAGAAACAATCTGAGCCTTCTTTAACTTCAGTTGGCAACTCAGGGAACTCCCCTTAACTTTCAATTGGCAACTAACTCTCATTGACTTCAAAGAGCATAGCCTCTGAAGACATCAGCATATGTCCCATCCTCTGTAATTCCGCTTTACTAAAAACCTTTGTGTGAAAAGGACCTTTCTGAAGAGTTCATGGCCCTATCCTCCACCCATTCACCCTGTTGGTTACAGTGCAAGTAGTTTTGAGGCAGTGGAAAAGATGTGTGGCTCCAGATGAGAAAATAACATGCTAGTGTTCTTAGAATAAAGAACAAAGAAAGAATATAGGGCTACCACCTTTCCTTTGGGCAAAGCTTGAATGTAGCCCTGTCCTTGTCTGGCCTCTCGGTTGATTGAACTCTTCCTTGCTCATCCATCTGTCCTTTTCCACACACGTCTGCCTTCCTCCTCGCCCCCCATTTCTGCTCGTTTCCTTTGCTCTCCTTGATACTTTTCCTCCCACTTTATTTTGCAGAGTGTTATTCATGCAACTGTCCACACTTTGCAGGTTGTTGTATACTGTGTATTTGTAGCCGTGTCAGTCCCTCTCACCAACTGGAGGTGCTCCAATAAAAGATTATTGCCTCACCCTCCTTGTCTCACACTTCACGGAGGGCAATGAGGGAAATCAAGGAGGCATTGGCAAGGGAGATGTGCAGTTCTGGGTGAGGTCTGAGGATGATGGAGAGAAGGAAGGCTGTACCAGATTGCAGCAGCTGTAGCGGGGCAGGCTCTTGCACCAGCTGTGGTGAGAGATGGTGCACAATGTGATGTAGGAGAAACAGGAAGGGGAGGCGAGAGAGAGAGGTGGTCTTTTGAGCAGGCTGGAGAAGCTTCTTGGGTAATTTTGAAGGCAGGTGAGCAAATAAAATGAATTGGATGCTGACGTGGCCGGGGAGGCAGTTGAGTTGTTTGGAGATGGGGGTGTTGTGGGAAGGTGGGCAACAGCGTTCAGCACTGGCTGGTGTCTGGCGAAAGGGCAGTTCATTTACGACCGTGAGGTGTCTTTGGCTCCTAGTCCTTCCTCGCCTGGTTCATCCCACCCAACCCAGCTCCTCCTCTCTACTCTGAATTCCCTCCCGGGGATCCTCTAGTTCCCCCTGTGGCGGGGAGCGCTCCTACCGCGTCACCAGTTCAGCACCTCACTCTACGGCTTGCCCATGTGCTTCAGGCCAGTCAAAGGGCCTGCTCAGCCCCAGGGTTCCCACACAATGGCTTGGAAACCAGGGGACTCGGGCTAAGGTATACACGCTACCTCTCTGATTTAAACTTTCTTTGGGGCTACTGACCCACATTCCCGCCACATGTGCTCTGCGGTCTGAGGTTTAGTAGTGGAGATGGTCAGTCGCTGAGGCCTTTGGGACTGACATCGGGGGACTCACCGAGCAGGTTCAGAAAAGCCTCTCTCTGTGCTTTAAACGGGCAGATTCTTCCATAGCTGGCTGATCAGGCGCCCAGTTCAAAGGGGTCACGTTGTCGGGTTGGTGGGTTCTGGCTGACAGCTCCATTCTCCAGGCCAGTCTGGAATTGTGTAGAGATTAGCTCACCGTGGCCCAAAGCTCATTCTCTCCAGAGCAGACTGGAGACAATTTAATGGATACAGTTTTCTATACAGGTAAAAAAATAAAGACCATACAGACATTTCCTGCTCTCCCCTCTGGCTATGCTCAACCTGCTTGGATTTACTTTACGGTGGGCATTAATTAGTCACATCACAGCATAGCTTCTCTTCTGAGGGGGTGATACTTGAAATAACCCCACTATTAAAATAGTGTTCAAGAACCATTTATTGCAGTGTAGGCCTGGGCAAATCTCTGCTTTGTGGGCGGCATTTCTCTCTCCTAGTAGAAACTGAAGGATAGAAACATAAAGACATCTTTATAATTTCCGCCTTTTTAAAGCCTTCTGATGCCTTGCCACTGAATTGTGCAGGGATGGACAAGCTCAGCAGTGACTTTAGGCTTCCATACATTCAGCGTGTTACGGTGGCAACCGTACAGCGGCCGCCCCATGTGCTTAAACATGCAGTCTTCAGATATGCAACCTCTGGCAGGCTGGTGTGCAAACATCCGGCATATGGCAGTTAAAGAAAGAATTATGTTCAAACAATGCGGAGTGACGTATTTTTAGATAGTCAAGGAAATCTCAAGCTCGGACAGCCAGCTGCAGCACCCAGAATTCAGTAACTGTCCTGGTCTCGTTTTGAAGAGAGTGGAGTTTCGGTCCTCCGGAAGTCCTGCAGTGGTTCTTAGGAGTCACTGTGGCAGGTGAATTTGCTGCTGGGTTGTAGAGGGGAGGGATAGCTGAGTGGTTTGAGCATTGGCCTGCTAAACCCAGGGTTGTGAGTTTACTCCTTGAGGGGGCCACTTAGGGATTGGGGCAAAATCAGTACTTGGTTCTGCTAGTGAAGGCAGGGGGCTG